ACTGCAGAATAACTAACCTTCCTGAGAGTATCGGAAACTGTACCTTCCTCATGGAGGTAAAAAAGAGGTTTCTGTCAAGACCTTAGAATGTTTTGGCAAACAACAATAACGAGTACAAATGGGGGAAATTGCAGGTTGATCTTTCAGCGAATATTCTATCGGAACTGCCAGAGACATTCACCAAAATGCGTAATCTGAAGGTAAATCAAATCAACCTTCATTACTGTTATCCTATGCCCGTGGCTTTTGCAAAGACTTAGTATTTTTGTGTTCAGACACTCGAGCTGAACAACACGGGATTGAAGATGCTTCCATCGGGTTTATTCAAGATGTGTTTGCAGCTGTCAACCTTAGGACTCCACAACACAGAGATAACCGTTGAATTTCTCCGCCAGGTTTTTTCGGAGTCTCATATTTAGCTTCTTTCTTTGTATTTTATAACTTAACAAAAGAGTATTTTGGGTTGTGGCAGTTGGAAGGATGGGATGACTTTGATGAAAGACGATGTACCAAGCATCAGAAGCAGCTTGATTTTCGAGTTGTTGGGTCTGGCGAATTCGACGAAGGCGCTGATAAGTCTTGGTGATTGAGTCAAGTCATCACAACTCTTACATTTCGATAATGAATGAATGAATATTTATAAACTCGATTTCAAATCTATTCTAAAGAAATTGTTTAGAAATGATAAGGCGAGGTGGTTTGTAGTGGTTGTAACTGTGTTGTTTAGGTTTAGAAATAAAAACCCACGAAAATGAAATTCATAAGGTTGTACTACTTGGATAATGATTAGAACAAGTTAAGAGCGAATGACCCCCAAAGCAAAAGGCAGAGTGATGAAAGGTGTGGAAGAATTGTTGCCTAATAGGATAATGATCGGAGGTGGCTTTGTTATTTCCTTAAGGAGAAGAAAAGAGATTTGGTGTGCCGAGATTGCGCTCGAAAGACACGGGATGGAGATACAAGAATGTGTAATATAGTTTTATCATATTATGTTGTGAAATTTTTAGTTTACGAAATCTCTAGCCGTTATGGTTTGATACAAGAAATTGTTTCGTTTCGAACTATCTTTGTGTACCTTCTTCACCCAAATGCCAAACACTGAACCTTCTATTGGGTTCAGTGTTTCAGTTTGTCCTTATATATTACGAAAAGGATAACTGTTTCACCTGAAATAGCAAGAAGATAAAGGAAAACTCGGGATTTTTTGACAGACCATGTTTCAGGTGGTGACGCAACCAGGAATTGTACATATAATAAAAAAAACAGTAGAAATAGAACCAAAGATGATAAATGGGTCTCTATCCCCAAAGTAAAAATCAGTCTCATTTACCCAAAGAAGCATCCGAAGAAAAACGGGTCTTCAACAGGCACACACAATTTTTGTTTTTATTGGTTTGAAAATTCTCTCACCTGTAATAGATAGAGACGAGGGGAATATCGACGTCATTGTCATCTTCATCCTCACAAGCCACCACTACATCTAGATGGCGGCGATAAGGCGGTAACTCCACTTTGGCGATATCCCGAGCGAGATCAACCACTTTCTTGTCCATCCTCTCCTTGTGCCTCGGGAACATACTGTTGAACAGAAGACAGCTTCCACATGAGATGCTGTACGCGCTTAAGCCTTTGTCCTCTAGCCACTGCAACACCTCACGCAGAGTTGGGTTTCCTTTCAGAATCCATCTGTCCCAAACGGTCCAAGTCATGTCCCGGTGCTTCACCACCTTTGGCGGTACCGGCTCAGCCATCGAGAAGAGTGGAAGCGCCAGGTTGGCAAATGTGTTTCTGTAGGCTTCCACTTTGTGTCCTCCATCAAGGACCTTGTAGAGCTCAAGGCAGACCAGCCCAGTGGCCATGGCTGTTGAAGTCGCAATGGCTGGGATGATTCTCCCTGCAATGAACTTTGCTTTCAGCTTGTCAACCTCGGGTATGCTGTAGTTTCTCGCCCTCATGTTGGCTAGACCCGCTATCACATCCATGTGATAGTTTGTATCATCATCCTAACACATTCAGAATCCAAAATGACAAATTACTCCTCCGTTAACAAAGCAGTGAGATAGAGATAATAACATTGGAGGCTATTTATTTACCTTTTCGAACTGAATTGGTTTCATCCTGAAATCTGGAGTCAAGTTATGCCTACACTGCTCCAGCTTAGCAATGAGGTCGTTGATGACTGCAGCGTCGTCCACCGAAGCAGTGGTTAAACTGGTGGCTTTCTCATCAGTCACAATCTTTGCATCTTTCCTTGGCTCGAAGTCTGGGACTATCACTCTGTCAACAGCTTCAGCTGCTTTTTTTGGGTCTTTGGTCCACTCAGGCACCGGGATCCCAAAGGTTTCAGCTCTTAAAATGGCAGTCGCCGTGATAAAGTTGAGGAGGCTTGTGTCGGACGAGGAGTACTGGAGTGGACGAGGGAATCTTTTTGGAGCAGACCAGAATGGAGCTCCAGTACTAGTTGCAGCATCTTCAGGAAATGTGTATATCAATTGCTTGACACGGTTGACAAAGTAATCCTCAAACCTGGTCAGATAACATAAGAAATGCATGTTATGGGAAATCCGGTACCTACATAAAGTTGCCTCCTAACAGTGTTCCTAAAGATTGATCTCTAATGACTTTTTCAAAAAAGTAAATATGATTCCAGGGATGATGCGCATGTCAAAAAGTATATAAAAAAACTGTAGCGCCACATGAGTATGATATCATACTCTTTTTCGTTCCAATATCTCGAGTAGACTACCATAGATCTAACAATTAAGAGAGTGGCAGTACCTCAGCCGAGCCCAGGTTAAGCAGTCTTGGAAGGTTTCACACTTCTCCTTGTCAAGACACTCAACAATCCTCTCCAATGTGTCCCTCGCCTGAGCATCCCCAGCACTGACCATTGTGTTAGTGTACTCAACCGGGCTAGAGAGATATGCATTAACTTCAGCGGGAGTCTTCTCAAGGAGACCCTCAAACTCAGAGCGAGCCCAAGTTAAACAGTGGTCAATGTTATGCGGAAATGAATGCACTGTACACATGGGGGCTTGTTTCTCAGGTGGATCCCTTGAGGCACCGTAATTTTCAGTTAGATGTGGAATAACCATCTGTGTGTTGCACTTTGCACCAAGAGTTCCAGACTCAAGTAGAGGCTTCTGGAAATACAAGCACCTCGAATCAACATAAAGCCTTGCATTGACATTATCCAGCGCATTGACGACAACAGTTAAGTTCTCCCAGAAGACATCATCAAATACATTCTCAGTCTCAGCGCCAACACGGTTTTGCAGAGCCTCAATTTTGAAGTGGGAATTTAT